CACCTGCACAACAAATCCTCCAAAAAGTGCAATTTTGTTTCATTATTTCCTTTCACTCTTCATATCGCGCTGTCTTTTCTATTCTACTGCAAAAATGTAAGTCACAGCGTTATAAATAAATGCGAAACTTATTTCCACAGGCCTAAGAAATAACTATAAAAACGTAGAATTGATCATTTTTGGCATATCAAGTTGAGAAAAATGTGAACGTCAAGGGGTTTGATCATTCTACGATACGGAACTTGTTTAATTATACCAAATCCCTCTTGCAAAATCCGCAAACTATAAAATCCCAGTTCCTCTGGCGAAAAGCTCGCGGTAACACGGCGGAATTTTCGTGGATTTTCCAGGAGACCATGCAAACGAGCCACAAAGGGGGTATCTTGAAGCCTCGACTGGGATAAAAATGGCACGAAGGAGGAAGTCGCGAAAGTTTTCGAACACGGTGTCATGGCGGGGCGAGCAGTGACTGCTCGGAGGAAGAGGAGTAGGAGGAGAGGTTCACCGCACAGAAACGTCTGGACCCCCATTGAAAAGACAACAAGCACAGGAGGAAAGGGACGATGACACGGATCTTTTGGCCCGTAGGACATGTTCGCGTTCTTTGACAAATCCGGCAAAGCGAGTGGCCACTTTGATAAAAAATGTCCGAGGGAAGTCGAAGTGAAGCTTTAAGCGGCGCTTTCAAAGCCGCATGCCGGTTCGCGACCTGAATTTCGTTCAGCCTTTTGTTCTGCCCGCGCGGATCCGTCGCCCTACTCATATTTGTTGCGAGCGCAGAAATGCGCAAAACACGATCACTTCCTCTTGGACGTGGACTGTGCACGCGATGTAAGTTCCGCGAATACTTTTCTCCCTTTCTCTATCTCTCTCTTCTGCTGCTCTGTTATTTTTCTATATGTATCGTATTGTGAAATATTTTTTGCCACTGTGCGTGCGTGTATGTACGGTTCTCTCTTTTCAGGCGTTTTTTGCTATTCTTCGTTGTTCCCTCGGATTTTCCTCTTTCTTTGCTTTTTCTCTGCACAATTACCGAAATTCGTATGGTAATGATTGTGAGCTAGTTAGCTGACGAAGTTTCTCTTCATTTTCTTCTTCTTTTTATTAGAGTTTTTTGTATTTCAGAGAAGAATACCGAGGAACGTAATTGTATTGTTTCGAGGTTTCTTTTGCTCGAAGACGCTATTATGCGGACTTTAAGGCACCTTTGTAATTGCAAGCAGACCATTGAGTTATGCTTCAAGTGCATCACGGAAAGGAACTGAAACGTCAGAATGGAAATGAGTTGTTTTGGCCATTGCTTCGTATTTCGCGACTGCGTTAAATTCCGTTTAATAGAAATACCTACACTTTTTTCCTGATTTTTTGGTACTACGCAAGGAAAAGATTTCTCAATAGCGTAACATTGTCAAATGTACAAGTACGTAATTTAATCATTCCTCTAAAATAATCTTACGAATCAATGGTAATTTAACAACGTTCCCATACGAAAACAAAGCTTTCCCAGCAATTTCATCTTTTTCGATGAAAATTGTTGAAAAAAAATTCTCATTAACCCTCGAATATTAACATTAACTTTTTCTTATATTAATATCAACATGCGGCATATATATCCCACGTAATTTTTTACTAACTTTATTAATATCGAGATTCTTCATTTTAAGTTCAAACTAAATTTATCGAACCTAAGGATATTTTTAATATAAAAATATAAAAAAAAATTTCGTGAAGCACCGTATTCCCCACATTAGTGTTCCACGTTTTAACTCTCCTAAAATCTTCATTATTACCATCAATACCAGCTTTCCGAATATTCCAATCTATATTCCATTCGACACTCAGTTTCCATGCACCGGTTCCGGTGTCTGAAGCGTTTCTTCGTTGCCTTCGGTATAAACAGATCTTTCGGGTTGATTAAATTGCAACAGGGGTGGCAGCGTGGTAGCGGGGATTTAAATAAAGATAACGAGTCTGGCCGCACCCGGGGCCGGCAAGATTCTTGTGGCCGGTCTGTTTCATATTCATTAATTATTATATAGAATCGTGGCGGTCGAAGGAAGCGCGGGAATAACAGGCTAAGTCTTTGCTCGTCGAACCATTATGGCCTCTTTTCCCTCGTGTCCCTCCTATTACTTCTGCTCCCGCGGTACTCATCTTTTGTAACCCTCCCGACGTCTGTTCGACGTTGTTTCTTCTTTTATTTGGAAGCGTGTGCCCTCCCAGCAGGATCGATATAACGCTCGGCAGAAGTGATTACGTCGCTTGAAAATTGCTCCTTCTTGTCCAGGCCAGACCTCTGAAGGAAAACGAATCTTCCTCGTTGCTTCTTCTTCTTCTTCGTCTTACCGTTGCTTCTCCTTCTTCCAGTTCAAGATTCGAATCGTTGTTGTTCTTGCGCCCGTTTACGTCCGCGGCCTTAATTGTCGGTAAAAATGGATTAAGAGGAATTAGGTCCGGCGAAGGTCCGCTCGGATAGACGCGCAGAATCCACTTTAAGCGCCGCTTTTGTGCCTGATCGATTGAACGATGCTCGTCGAGGATTAACGTCGCTGGAATTTGTACTTTGGTTGCGCCTCGAACTGCGCCCTTTTGATCGGTGGAAACGCAACTTCGAAGAGTGTTCAACAGATCTTCAAACCTTTATAGCAGTTCTCGTGCAGGTTTTTTTTTTTTATGAAAATCATCATCTGGATTCAAAAGTTCTTCGTTTCAGAGAAATTCATTTTCTCGTATTCTTTTTAGAATTTATTTTACCCCTTAACCCTTTCGCGACTAGCGCCGGTTATATCCGGCATCCACTAAATGCTTCACACTGGCTAGCGCCGGTTATATCCGGCATCCGCTAAGCGCGTCGCCTCAACAACTCAAAGTGAAGATTTATTACTGGATTTATTTTAAAATACAGAACAAGGCCTCAACAACATTCCCTTTATCCAATACATCCTGAAGTCCTCTACTGTTCCAACGAAATCCTCTAAGATTTTACGTGCACTAATGGCACGACGACCCGTCCGTTAGTGGCGTACTGATGCCTAGTTCCGCCGTCGCGAAAGGGTTAACTTATGATTTTTTTCCGACTGTACATCTAAGCGTCTGCCATTTACTGTTTCAGTACTGTATCAGGTAACAAAAGCGAATCCATTACAGATTAATTACATGCAAACGCAAGTTAGCATTATTTAATATAATTATTTTTGTCACATTTTGACCAGAATTTGTGCCACGAATCTGACTCGTTGTTACAACTCAAGGGGTTAAGTTCCTTTAAGTTTCTTTATTTCATTATTTCGGGATCTAATTTCGACAGGACTCTGTAATACAGTAGAGAATGTTCCTTTTTTTTATTCCAGTAATTTGTCTTAGGATTGGACGAACCGCCGCGCAGATAAATTTCAAGAATTCAGAAACGCGGGAATTCGAAATGGAAAGTGAACGAGGTGACGAATTGCCCACGAGATGATTGCTGTAATTTAAATCTATTTTCTGGTTCAAGTGGAATAATTCCCCGCGTTCCATTCGCGAAATTCACAATATGTTAATTACCGTGAACTAATTAAACCCGTTTATCACGATGAACAATTAATAATTACCTGTTCAGAGCTACGGGTAAAAATATCAGATTACGTTCGCCTGATAAATATTCATACGAAGGGAAGAAACGCGCCGGGGTAATAAAAGGGGTGCGTTTTTCCTTCTGCAAAGAGGAGGGGAGGGATCTTCGACCCCTGAAATTTGACTAACGAGAGGGCCGACGAGCCTCAAGTTTTTCCACAGAGTGAGAATGTACTTCAATTGTGTAATCCAAGATCGAGGTAAACAAAGATTAATCATAGCTGGAGCAATATTGTACAAGAAGGGTTGGACTTAATTTCGGCAAGAAAACTCATTCGTCTCGTTCACGTTCTGACTGTCAACCTGTGTCAATTATTTCCACTCGATCTATCTTGTCGAGCCTCGAGTTTTGCCCTTTTTCTCACTTACTTCGTGCGAGCTGTCTTAATATTTCCGTAGCAGAGCTTCCGATCAATTTATGAGCTCGTTCTGTCCCACGATAACACAGAAATTTGTCGTCGTGAGATGGCGAATACATTTTTCCTCGTGTCAACAGTGTAGTGTCTCTAATGAAATTTGACAGGAATCTTTTTCAACCCTTCCGCTGTGACAGATTTCGATACGTAACGCATGTGGCAGATGGTAGACGCTGAATCGCGAGTGAAAAATTTGGTTTCAGTTCGATTTCAGGGGTTCTATATTCTTGGAACGAAAGAAATTATGACGATTACTGACTTCCGATTTTTTTCTCTTAATGGTTGCGTTTAAAATCTTCCGTTTTGGCGGTGTCAGCTCAATATTTGTTTTAATAAATTATAACGGAAGTGCGCAAAGGATAAAATTAAGGAGAAAGTATTGAAATGGCGCCAATAGTAGTGAAAGGGTTAAGATACAATTTTTCATAATTTACATTAGTATTAGTCTCTCATTTTTATCGAAGGTATCTCTTACACGTCCTTTACTTCAATGTTCAAAAATTATTCATAATTTATTCTACAGTTCATTGCGTTTTTAATTTCGTTCTATTTCTTAAACCTGCGAGATCTCGACGAAAATTCTATTCCTATCGATAATAACCACCGTAATTTAGCGAATAAATTTAACAACGTATTTTTATACTCACGATCAACTCTCACTTTAAAGGAACCCCCCGAAACCCTGTCTAACTTTTTCCCCCGACGTATAAATTTCTCTCGGTATCGTTCTCGAATCAGCTTTAAAAATCATTCCCGAACAAAGTCCTAAACACACCTCCTTATGCAAACGCGTCCGCGGGATAACAGGGCTCGATATATAAATTTCCCCGTCGCGATAAGAAGTTCGACGCTCGTCAATTCTTCCTATATACATCGGAGATACGGAAAAAAAGTTTCGCGGTGCGGTAACGATACGAAGTGAAGTTCAGAGAGAGAGAGTCGGGACACTGAAGAAACGATGAATTTACTTACCACCTTCGATGGATATCGGTTCGACCACCGTGTCACCTCCTTTGATTTGAACGTTTCCACGGTACCAGACGATCGTCGCAGCAGGTTTGGCCGATCGAACCACGCATTCCAATTGGCGGGACTCGCCAACCTTCACCTCGATCTTCGTCTTGTTCGGATGATTGCTGATCTCCACTTTCTGCGGCGGTGCTGCAACAGAAGAAAGATAGAAATGGTTATTTTATGGAACAATCGAATTGGAGAACACTTAAAGTAACCCTTTAAAGTAGCGACAAAAGAAATTTTCTCAATTTTTACAGTATAGTAAGGAGTGCCTTAGCAATAATTATTCGAAATGATTGTTATCGGGGCTTGAAAACATTTTCGCAGACTTCATGCTTTAAGTTGAACGGTATTTCAACGGGAGATACATTAGAAACCACACAGTCTTCGATTGGAAGAGTTTCATTTGGGAGTAGTCAAGTCAACCATTTCTCAGGCGCTCGAAAAATTTCGATGTCTGAGATATGGTTGACTTCCCTGATTAGCTTCGGTCCTGAATATTTCTAAAAAGTAAGTAGTAAAGTCAACTATTTCTCGGACGCTCGAATTTTTCGGAATCAGCAAGTAGTGCAAGTCAATTATTTCTCAGACGTTTGATATTTTCCGGAATCCGTAAGTAGTGCAAGTAAATCATTTCTCAATCGTGTCGAAACTATCCAAGTCCATTTAAATAAATACCAAAATTCGACCGGGAAACTTGGCAAATTGTGAGGAAATAGCGTTGAGAGTGTAGACTATTTAACACATGCCTAAGTATTATTACACATACGAGCCTACACTCCCACCGTAATCGTTGTTCCCCATTTTTTTTACGACTATCGACGTCATTTGCTCCGACCGCTGCTCACGGGCTCTGCTCGGGGCAAAAAAGGGAGCTCTTTACACCTGCATTACACAGTATTATTTTTGAGATTCTAAAATTCTTCCCAGTTTTAACTGCAATTTCACGCAGGTATAATCTTTATAAAATTGTGAAAGTAGTTCTTTTCACCTTTTCTCCGTTTTTTTCAGTAAATAGATTGGATTGAACGAAAGGAAGAAGCGTCGTTCTACCCAGACTGATAGAGGCTGACAAAAGTGTAATTTCAGGTTGGCAAGGTATTTTTACGGGCAAAGCAACGGAACATTATATAAAAACTTTACTCCGGATGGAACACTGTTCTTCGGGAGTTCCCAGATGAAAACTAACTTTCACGCGCTTCATCTTCCTTTTTTACGAAGAATTCTGCACTGGAACAAACATACCGGAAAGCTACGAGCCCAGGCAGTGTACCTCGAAAAGCTACTTTTCACGTGTTTGAAGCGCTCAGCTAACCAACTGCGATGCTTACCGCCCTGTAAGTTGTCATCGTAAAGTAAGTAGTTATTTCCAACGTGGACACAGGCTGATTATCTCGGGCTTAACCTTAAAATGTTTGTCCGTCGCGAAAGATAGCACTGAAACGCGAACGTTACATACGCGTTATGACAGAAAAGCAAAACGTGTAAGTAATTTCGCCTGAATATTTTCGCCCGGGGAAGAAAAGTCAAGTAAACTTTCGAACGACACGTTTAAGAGTTTCTTTTTTCCTCTGTTAATCCATTATAGGGTTTTGAACAAAGATTAAAACGAGGATCACCCGGAGTCCACGATAAACACAATTTTCCTCATCGATCCATCCCACGGCAATCTATAGCCTGGTGTTAGTAAACGGGTAAATGGGCGGCACCTTTTTTTACCATTTTGCATTATTAATACCCGTTCCAGATACGGCCGCGGATAGCGGCTGACTAAATATAGACGGCCGTTTCCTTTGAGCGAGCGAAAATTAGTTTCACCCCATTTCATTTTTCTTAGCGCCGCGCGCTGTTAAGAAAACGACGGGAAATTTTCTAATCCACGCTTCGCAGAGGAAGTCACAGCTTTAAACTCACGTTCACGATCAAACGTCAACCTTATCTATCCCAAGAAAAAGAACGAAAGAAACATATTTTTAACAATTTTCAATCTTTCACGAAATCTCGTCGATTTCCTCTACCACCGATTTACCCCAACTTCCTCTTCCCGTTTCTTCTCTATGTCATTGTTCCCTCTACCCTCGTTGTTCCGTGAATATTTTCAAGCTCGGTTTTCCTTTTGACGATCTCCGCTCGACTATAACCGATAAACACGAGAGAGAGAGAGGGAGAGAGGCCGGAAGAGATTCGCTCGCGAAAATCGGCCAACGTTTCCGCTCGAGTTTCGGCCGCGGAAACGTCGAGAGTCAGACAGACAGACAGAGAGAAGAAGAAGAAGAAGCGAAAGGATAGAGCGAAGAAGAGCGAGGGAGAGAAAAAAAAAGCAGGAGGGAAAAGGCAGCACAAACGCATTGACTAGGAAACTCCGACGTAACGGTTATTTGCCACTTCATTTGGCCTGATGCAACGTGCTTTCGATCGGTTTACTGGCATGGCGCATCGTCGACGAACAACTTCTATCCAGGAGGCTGGCTATCGATGTTGGAAAATGCGTTTTCGACTAACAACCACTGGCGTTGGTACACGCTACCACGAGCCAGAGAGTAGCTCTTGATTCGTCGGTTACTCTCCATGGAATTCTTCATGCGCGTGTATACTCCTACACTACGGTATCTCTTGTCGACCTGTGTAGGAAATTAACCCTGGTTTCCGATATAACCTGCGAATTTTCCTCATCGTCCGCCACTCGTCCCTTTCTCGTTCTACGGAAATTTTAATCCTCTCTCTCTCTCTCTCTCTCTCTGTTGGTAATGAAGAAAGATGAAGGGCTTTTTCTCGTGCTAATTTTACACGATGGTTTCCATAAGTTCATTTTACAACTCGTCGTATTTCATCGTTACAATTCTTTGTATACTTATTGTTATTAAGCTCGAAGAGTTGAGAACGGTGTTGTATTAACACTTTATATTGCTATATTAACATTAGGTTTAAGGGACGCGCCATTTTGACGCATTTCGAATTTCAGGAAAATTACAGAAACCGTTTACATTTCTCTCCTACATTCTCTCCCCATTCACGGTATTTTTTATTCGGTCCTATGATTTTTTTATTAGGGCAGCGTGTGGACAAAGTTTATGCTTCTGGCGTTGAGCTTGAAATCTTCTGCACTCGTAAATTCCGTGGCCGCAGAGATTACAAAATAGTGGTTCAGTTTTCTTCATTAGGTGTTCGTGGGTTAATTTGAAATGGCCACACTTTAGTCCGGTTAGGATCGTTTTTTCTTTTCTGCTTATATGTATTATAATTAGGTATCGCATGGTAGAAGTCTCGTAGGTACTATGTCCTGGGTTCTAGTTCTCTTGGATGTGGTCTATTTTCCGTTCCATTCTTCTCTTGTGCTTGTTTGTATTACATTTGCGAGGTCTTCGTACAGGATTGCTTTTTGAATTTCACTCGGTGGAAGAAATATTGCTTCTCTTGGTGTGGTATCAGCTTTCTCTTTGCCAGTTGTGCTTTAGTGGGAGAGGACCTAGATAAGGATTACGTGTTTGCCATTATCTGTAAGGTCTGTGTATGATTCTTGGATGGATTTTGTAATTTCATACTTGCTTTTCCTACGAGAATTCTCTAATTACTTAGTTACACTATGAGTGTAATATAATAGTAGCAATAAAAATCTTGTATTCTAGATCCACCGTTTAACCCAGAATCTTTCAACGTCGACGTTCTTCTATCCGTCAAATTTCTCATCAACGATGCAAATCACCCGGATAACTCATTAAGATCATCGAGCTCTTCATTCTCCTCCTTCGACACTCGTTACCAGCTCCGGTCCGCGCGGATCTTCCTTCAATTACCGAATTTATCGTCGCCCCGGTCCACTCCCGTCTCGACGAAACTTCTGGCGGACAAACGAGGTTACGCTTTTTCACCCGTCGCTCGAGTCGCTCGTGAAAATTTATCGCATTACAGTCCTAATTCCTGGACGAGGTCCGAGGCTGGGCTATTGATAAGAGACCGGACGACGATATACACGTTCACACACATACACACACACACTTAAGGCAGAATGGAAAAAGTGTGGAACCGCGAAGGAAACCGCGAAGGAAAAATAAAGATCCCTTTTTTTCCCACCCTTGATTCCCTTAATCTACACGCTTTTAAGACAACCGACAATTCCAGCGGATAAAAAAGCATGGTAGACGGATGTTCTGACCTCCATCCGACGTTGCAACGAAGAAGCAAAGGAGCGTGGCGTACCCTCCGCGAGAATTACGCGGTAAGGTAAAGGTATTCAGCGAATAATAGCAGCCATATTTCCCCTTGCTGTCCACCGCGATAACAGCATTAACAGAGACCGTGTTTTCCATTCCCCGCATCCGCTGTCGCCACTTAAACGTCCACCGCTTTTTTCACCACCCCCTTAATTTCTCCTCTGTTTCTCTTCTCTCTTCGGCATTATATATCTTTGTTAGTTTCCTTCTTCCCCCACACAAAGTCCTCACATTTTCCCCCCGCGCGCGCTCGTCTTGTTCCTCCTCTGTTACGTGCACTTTTTGTTTGTTCTTTTTTTTTTTCAAGAGAATTGATAAGTTGAACGTGAGTTTCGTTTTTCTTCAATTGAGAACGAATCAATGAATTGTATTAGTCCCTCGGTGAACGGGCTCAGTAAAAAAGGATCGGGTACATTTATTTATATTGGAATATTTATGAAGTATTTATTGGAATATTTTACCCCTTTCACGGATGAATATTCGCCTCGAGAATTTCACAGCTATCGGAAATCTCTGAAATGCTGTATGCATTAATTCTCCTACGCCCGCTGGTCTCTTTTTGATTTCACCAAGTGGAACGAATTTTTGGCATTCTCGCTTCAAAGTCTATTCTACGTAAGATACGCTAGCTTTCACACGTACCCTCAAGTTCCTCGAAATTGATATCGCAACTAAGCTCTGAACAACGGCAACAAAAACCCGTTCCAATTCGAGTCTATTCTTGAAACGAGCCGGAACAACATGCAATACGTAATCCTTGCAACACTAGCATTTTGTTATACAAGCCTGTGTAAACCCAATATTTCACTGTAGCCGTAGCAACGAAACAGTCCTGGCCCCATTGATCACAAACCTCGATCCAATTCTCGTACCTTTTCTCCTTTCGACAGAAAAAAAGCAAACAAATGAAACAAACCAAAGTAAAAAAGTAACCCA